AAGTATTCAAAACAGTAGCCAAACTACTCTTTTCTTGTATAATTACTGTGATTTTCAAGCCACATACTTCCCAAAAGCATTCAAGTCTCAAACCTCGGTGGAACCGGAAACATCCCGACTTCCTCGAACTAAATACCGTCACGTGACAAAAGTGAGTATCTACGGCCCCATTTAAAATATTTTAAATCATTTCCGGGGGGAATACACACAACAAAACATGATACTTAAACTTATTTACACTTATTGGAGTTTATGTACATCTATGTTAATTCAAGTCTATGTTTCATCTTATACCGACAATATACACTTGCAGTTATATTCTTAAAAATATCACGACCATGTTATAAATAAATTCCATGTCAAAAATCTATATGAAATGATTTATAAAGTTATATTTTGATGGTTACGATATAAATAACTAGAAATTTACTATCATTATTTATATATGATAATGAACGGTAAAGGGAAGTATATTTGTTGATAGTAATATGTATATTAATCCTTTAAATCAAGTTATTATATTTTCATGGGAAAAACCATATTGACTTACATTTAAAGATTAGCAAATTTTATGACACTATGTATCCAACCATTGACAATAGTAGAACGTTAATTATAATTGGGATTGTTGTGGGGATTTTCTTATTCATCAAAACTAAGAACACCAACTTAGTAAAGTCCTCTGTTATAACCGTTAATCCTTTGTGAGCGAAGAACGTTGTGTATAGATCTATACGGGTTGACACCCCCGTCTGTGTGGTTGATAGCTACAACCTTCGTATGACGAGACAAATCAGACGATAACTTCTTGTTTTCTTTATCTTATTCTTTTATCACGACGTTGATGAAACGTCGTTGGGACAACAAACACCTTTTTGTGCTTCACAGAGGCTTGAACAAGTCATAGCTCGGTTATTTACTCCACAACATCCTAGATACATAAATACTAATACAAACTTCTACAAGGTTGTACTAGTAATATTTTTGGGTTAAACATTTTTTTTTTGCAAATACTCCAAATTTTATCTGTTTATTTTATATAAAATTCACGGAGTCAAAACCTGTGGAACTCACCAACAAATTTTGTTGACGTATTTTAAATGTGTATTCTCAGGTAACTAAGAAGTTGGAGGTAAACCATCGGTTTCAAGGAGATCGTAGTTTCCTTTATTATTATGAATTTGGTCTTTTTTTAATGTTTCGTATTTGAATAATTACTATATTGTAATAATATTTACAAAACCAAAGTTTGTAATATATTAATTTATGAATGTTCAATATATGTGGTTGACTGTGGTTCCAATTGTAAACGTCGCAACCCCGGCGTTTCCGCCGTTGGTCGGGGTGTGACAAAAAGTCTTTGGAACATGTTGCAAAAATTCTCAAAGTGACATCAATAACCTTTACCAAAATAACAAGAACCAAGTTTTCTCTATAATTTATTGAGTCTTTAGGCATGTTTTTCGACATCCAAAATAAGAAAATGATTTTTACTGTTATTAAATTGTATGAAGATGCATTCTAGAAAATTTCAGCTTCAAATAGATTTTCTTTATTTTTACATGAAAGTAATAAGAAAATAGAGTGTTAAAGCATATAAAATACTTACACTAGTAAAGAAATTCTGGAAAACTTCATGAATGACCTATACTGTAAAACAACGTTCCCCACGAAGTTTGAGAAAATTTTATTACTATTTACCATTAGTTTTTATTTTATTGTTATTAAGCACAAATAGATAACAAAAATCGGGTTCCAAGTTATAAAACTCACATTTATTATTTTTAGAAGCTTGTATATATTATATAACATTCATAGAAAAATTTGATGAATTTTCCATAACTTTATACTATTTTCCAAGATTTAATGTATATTAAAAGAATTAAATTAGTGAAAAATAGTTAAACTTATCCAATTCCAAGATTTAATGTATACTAAAAGAATTAAATTAGTGAAAAATAGTTAAACTTATCCAAAATTCATAAACATTTACCAGAAAATGTTTTCTTTCATTATAACTATAAATAAATATTTTGAGGATTTATATTAACTGTTTACTATTTATTTCTATTTTATTAGTATTAAACACACTTAAATTCTAAACATATGGATTTACTATTCAAAAAGGACTTTCAATAATTTTCCCAGATTTTGTACACTATAAAACAGTTACGCAAAAATTAGAAGAACTTTTCATGATAATTTCCTATTTTTCCATGATTTTATGATTATTCAAGGAATTAAAATGGTGAAAAATAGTTAGACAAATCAAAAATTCAAGAAAATGTATCTTAACATCTTTGACTTCAGTTGAAACTGAAATACAAAGTTTGGGAAATTTTAGAACTAATTGATTTAGTTTTTGAATATTTAATCATTGGAACACCTCTTAAAATGTTAAATATTAACATTTCAATAATGGGAATTTTCCACTTAAATTGTTATATAACAATTGATTCATGGAAATTTAATTTTCATAGAACAATGTTTATAACTTATCAATATCAAAATTTTGACACATTATTGGCATATTTCTTTTGTAGTAGTAAGTATACTAGTATTAGATTTCAATTAGAGACTCATTAGTTTGTAACATTGTTGTAGGATCGATAGCGATATGAGTGGAGCGTAGTTGAAGGCACCATTTGCATTATCAAAGCATAGTGGGTATTCATGACACCCCTATTTTTGGTTTTTACATTTTGGGATGGAAAACCATGTCCGAAAAACTATTTATTTTTCTTTGTATTCAAATTGATTTGTATCAAACATGATTGCTATATTTTGCTATGTATGTCTATGCAACTTGAAACATGAGGCCTTATCGTCTTAAGTCCCTTCCCTTACACTTTACTCCAACCATTAACTTTTTGAGCCAACGACCATTATGGATAGCGCTATTAGGAATTGACAACTCCTCACTCGACTGTAACGACCCACAAATCAAGGGTAAAAAATTCATTTTTAATATAGCTAAAACATTGATACCAATTATTCCAAATCATCATTAAGTAAAATATTTATCAGAGTCCATCCCAAAATCATTCAATGCGGAAAACATGGGTGTGTGCATTGCGATCATTTCGGGCCCTTCTTTTCCAAAACGATGATACCTGAAACAATAAACAAAACTGTAAGCACGAAGCTTAGTGAGTTCCACAGAGCATACCCCACACAATCCACATAACCACATAATCCATACTAGCTATAACAGCTACATAAACTTATTTACACTTATTGGAGTTTATGTACATCTATGTTAATTCAAGTCTATGTTTCATCTTATACCGACAATATACACTTGCAGGTATATTCTTAAAAATATCACGACCATGTTATAAATAAATTCCATGTCAAAAATCTATATGAAATGATTTATAAACTTATTTACACTTATTGGAGTTTATGTACATCTATGTTAATTCAAGTCTATGTTTCATCTTATACCGACAATATACACTTGCAGTTATATTCTTAAAAATATCACGACCATGTTATAAATAAATTCCATGTCAAAAATCTATATGAAATGATTTATAAAGTTATATTTTGATGGTTACGATATAAATAACTAGAAATTTACTATCATTATTTATATATGATAATGAACGGTAAAGGGAAGTATATTTGTTGATAGTAATATGTATATTAATCCTTTAAATCAAGTTATTATATTTTCATGGGAAAAACCATATTGACTTACATTTAAAGATTAGCAAATTTTATGACACTATGTATCCAACCATTGACAATAGTAGAACGTTAATTATAATTGGGATTGTTGTGGGGATTTTCTTATTCATCAAAACTAAGAACACCAACTTAGTAAAGTCCTCTGTTATAACCGTTAATCCTTTGTGAGCGAAGAACGTTGTGTATAGATCTATACGAGTTGACACCCCCGTCTGTGTGGTTGATAGCTACAACCTTCGTATGACGAGACAAATCAGACGATAACTTCTTGTTTTCTTTATCTTATTCTTTTATCACGACGTTGATGAAACGTCGTTGGGACAACAAACACCTTTTTGTGCTTCACAGAGGCTTGAACAAGTCATAGCTCGGTTATTTACTCCACAACATCCTAGATACATAAATACTAATACAAACTTCTACAAGGTTGTACTAGTAATATTTTTGGGTTAAACATTTTTTTTTTTGCAAATACTCCAAATTTTATCTGTTTATTTTATATAAAATTCATAGAGACAAAACCTGTGGAACTCACCAACAAATTTTGTTGACGTATTTTAAATGTGTATTCTCAGGTAACTAAGAAGTCGGAGGTAAACCATCGGTTTCAAGGAGATCGTAGCTTCCTTTATTATTATGAATTTGGTCTTTTTTTTAATGTTTCGTATTTGAATAATTACTATTTTGTAATAATGTTTACAAAACCAAAGTTCGTAATATATTAATTTATGAATGTTCAATATATGTGGTTGACTGTGGTTCCAATTGTAAACGTCGCAACCCTGGCGTTTCCGCCGTCGGTCGGGGTGTGACAGATTGGTATCAGAGCTAACGACTATAGAGAGCTAAGTATTTTCCTAAAAATACAACTATAGTCTAGGGCTTACTCTAGTAGGTATAGATATACCGCTATCCTACAAAAACTTAAAAATAGAGTTTTATTAAACATAAATTAATATTTATTTATCTTATAAAAAAAACTCATCTATGTGTGAAACGAATTATATATATATAAAAAAAAAAGATTGAAACACAAGAATTTAGATCAATTAATCAAATAGGTTTCATAATACATATGCTTTATCACAACTAGACCTAGCTTGCGCACCTAAGTTTTATTATGATCGGGCCTTGTGCGTTATCCAACCTAAATGAAATAATTTATAAACTAAAAGCTTGGAGTTTTAAGGAAACTAAAACCAGTCATTAGACACAAATAATTGATAGAACCAAATAAATAATTATAAAATTTTTTATATTTATCGATGTACTTTGGGTTCTAATATTTTCTTTAAAATCCATTCTAGATGGACGAACTATGGATGTTGGTTCAACCCCCAGCAAACCAACCCGTGCTTCCTGTAATCCCTGGAGATCCATACTATCCCGAGCTCCCTGTAGCATACAACCCTATCCCACCAGTCGAGGAGGCACCGATACAACAGGAGGAGATTGAGATCGAAGAAAATCCTAAGGAGGACATGGAAGAGGATCCCGAGGAAGAAGATCCTGAGGAGGACATGGAAGAGGATCTCGAGGAAGAAGATCCTGAGGATGACATGGAAGAGGAAGATGATGACGAAGTGATAATGATAACTGAATCAGAATCATCTGTCACACCTCCAACCACCCCAATTCACTCTTTCACTACAGCTCCAAGTCGATGTCCCAGGAAAACAGCCAGGATGTCAATCCCAGATCGAAGACCCACAACGCTGAGGCAAAGCAAGAGGTTTTCCCACACCCAAAAGAAGGTAGATCGACCTGCCTGGGAAAGCAACAAGGTGAACAAGTGGATATCCGAATGGAAGGCCACGAGAAATATCGAGAAAGGTCAAGCGTCAGGAACGACACCTCCATCTCCCATGGACATTGATGACTTGTCTCTCCTATTCGAAGAAAATACCCGCTTGCATGGACAAGTCTGGCACATCAGTGATGAACTGAGCACCATACAGGGACAGGTAGCACAAACTAGAGGAGGAATGACTCGTATGGGGAGACAACAAGAACAACAGCATATTGAGTTGGATAACCTCCACCAACGAATGAACTATCACCATAGCAACTGGATGAACTGCAATTCACGGATGACTGCTATGGAGAATCAAAACGATATTGCTCTCTCTCTGGCACATGGAATAGAAGAAAGGCATGTAGCACTCAAAGAAAGTCATGAAACACTTGAAGAAAGGCATGTAGCACTCGAAGAAAACCATGAAACAGTCGAAGAAAGGCACGCAACTCTCGCAGCAGACCATGCAGAACTGGTTGCAAAGCACACAGAGTTGTCCAATGCGGTGGCCCAATGGATGAATTTCTGCTGATAAGAAGTATCGGGTTGTGGCAGGGCAAGTTGTTAAACTTGCAAATTTTGATATAACTCTTCGGATATGTTAGGTCTTATGAGCATACGTTAGTTTTGTTTGTTTCGCCTGTAATATAGCAAGAGTTAGGGCTTTTGTACCCCTAAAACTTAGGTCTTTACATTTTGTACAAGTAAAGACCGATGTAAACGGATACTAATGCTTAAAATGAAATATATGATGTATTTAGTTTCAAAACCTTGTCAAACTATCATATGAACCATTTTGTAAACAACATTTGCAAAAAAAAAAATCAAACAGAAATAATTTTTCCAAAATAAATTCCTAAAGTGGCTAACACTAACATCGCAAACTTACTGACTATTATAGGACGACAATATGCCTCCAAGAAAGAGCACTCGTTTAAACCCAGGTGTACCAACTCCACAAGCAACAGCACAACCGAGAGCTGGACACCCCAGAAAAGGCCGAACAAGTCCAGTGGTGACCCCGGTAGCAGAAACACCATCTTCTAACACACCAATGCCTCCACCCCCTGAGTCAGGGCTTCCCCAAACCACTGCAGAATTGGAACAACTAATATCTGAACGCCTCTCAATCGCATTGGCAACTGCTAGGAATCTGGACTCTGGAAGGCCTATCGTGGAAGTGAATGGGCTCAGGAACGGACTCGGAAGCACTCTCAACTCAAATCCTGACGAACCTCAAAGGACTTGTTCATACAAGGACTTCATGAATTGCAAACCGAAGAACTTTTACGGAAATGAGGGAGTCATCGGTCTAACTCGTTGGATCGAAAAGATAGAAGGAGTCTTCGAGATTTGATATTGCCCTGATGGTAGCAAAGTGCGGTTTTCCGCATGTACCCTGATGGATGGAGCCTTAACTTGGTGGAACGATCACGTAAAAACTCTAGGAGTTTCAATTGCAAACTCCATGTCTTGGGAGAACTTTAAGGCTCTGTTAATTGAAGAATATTGTCCACGAGATGAGGTGCAGATGTTAGAACACGAACTATGGAACTTGAAAATGAAAGGTGCTGAAGTCAAAGCATATACAACTAGGTTTAACGACCTTGCACTTCTCTTCCCAGGAATGGTAACCCCCGAAAGCAAGAAGGTCGAACGCTACATTTGGGGCCTAGCACCTCAAATTAAGGGGATGCTTCTTTCATCGAAACCTACAACCTATCTAAGTACTAAGCGTCTGGCATTTCAATTGACTAAGAATGAAATTGATCAAGGGACGATGATAGCTAAGTTTGAAACCCCCAAAACTGGAAATAATCACCACAAACGCAAGTTCAGTGGAAGAAGCCAGGGTCAACGGAAGAAACAACAGATTGAAAAGGTGTACGCTGTGACTCCGGCCCCTATTCATACCCAACATAAGAGTTATGCTGGAAACAAACCACTATGCACCAAATGCAACCGACACCATGTTGGAGAATGTTTCCATTGTACTACATGCAACAAGAAAGGGAATACTGCAAACTTTTGTCGAGGCACGACACTTGCTGCAGTAGTACAAGACAGGGGCAATGGATCAGGGTCAGGAGGAGGAGTAACTTGTTTCGAATGTGGAGATAAAGGTCATGTCAAGAGGAATTGCCCGAAACTGAAGAAAGTCGATGGCCAGGCTCGTGGTCGAGCTTTTGTGATTGGGAATAGGGATGCGATACAAGATCCCTCGATGGTCACTGGTACGTTTCTCATCAATAACTTATATGCTACGATTCTCTTTGACTCCGGTGCTGATAGAAGTTTTATAACCCCATCATTTAAACAACTATTAAATCACGAGTCTAGTAAATTAGATGTATCATATGAAGTAGAAGTAGCAAATGGTCAAGTTGAAAGCACCACCGAAATCCTACGTGATTGCATCCTAACTCTAAACGACCATACGTTTCCTGTTAATCTAATGCCAATGCCAATTGGGAGCTTCGACATTATTATCGGTATGGATTGGTTGTCTCCTCACCATGCCAATATTTTATGTTTTGAGAAGGCAATACGTCTAACACTAAGTAACGAGGAGACCATGACGATCTACGGTGACAAGTCGGGTCAGAATTTAAAGCTTATTTCTTGCACCAAAGCTCAAAAATATCTATACAAGAAGTACCATGCCTTCTTGGCGCATGTAATAGATAAGAAAAGAAAAAATAAAGAAATCAAAGACATACCACAAGTATGTGACTATTCCGACGTGTTTCCAGAAGATCTTCCTGGACTACCACCAAACCGCAGTGTCGAATTCAGAATCGACTTAATTCCAGGAGCAGCACCAGTAGCAAAATCCCCCTACAGATTGGCCCCTTCCGAGATGCAAGAACTTTCGAGTCAACTGCAGGAACTTCTTGATAAAGGTTTCATTAGACCGAGCTTCTCGCCTTGGGGAGCACCGGTCGTATTCGTCAAGAAGAAGGATGGGTCTTTCAGGATGTACATCGACTATCGGGAGTTGAACAAATTAACAATCAAGAATCGTTATCCACTCCCCAGAATAGACGACCTGTTTGATCAACTTCAGGGATCCAATTACTATTCAAAGATAGATCTTAGATCTGGATATCATCAACTGAAGGTGCTAGAGGAGGATGTTCCGAAGACGGCATTTAGGACTCGATATGGACAATACGAGTTCCTAGTTATGCCTTTCGGATTAACCAATTCTCCAGCAGTATTCATGGACCTCATGAACCGTGTGTGCAAGCAATACTTAGATAAGTTCGTGATAGTATTCATCGATGACATTCTAATCTATTCTCGCACCAAAGAAGAACACGGCCAACACCTGAAATTAATCTTGGAACTGCTAGGAAAGAAAAATTGTACGCCAAACTCTCCAAATGCGAGTTTTAGATCAGAGAAGTACATTTCCTTGGGCATGTAGTGAGTAACAAAGGAATACACGTGGATCCTGCAAAAATTGAAGCAATTAAGAATTGGGACGCACCAAAGACGCCAACGGAAGTGCGTCAATTCTTAGGCCTTGCAGGCTACTACAGGAGATTTATTGAAAACTTCTCCAAGATAGCAAAGCCTCTCACTACACTAACACAAAAAGAAACTAGATTTGACTGGGGAAGCAAGCAGGAAGCCGCATTCCAGAAGTTAAAACAGATGTTATGTAGCGCACCAATCCTATCCTTACCTCAAGGAACTGAAGATTTCGTAGTATACTGCGATGCGTCAATTCAGGGTTTGGGGTGCGTATTAATGCAGAGAGACAGGGTCATTGCGTATGCCTCTCGTCAACTCAAAATCCATGAAAAGAACTACACAACCCATGACCTTGAGTTGGGAGCAGTAGTCTTTGCCTTGAAGATTTGGAGACACTACCTCTATGGAACCAAGTGTACTATTTACACAGATCATAAAAGTCTCCAACACATATTCAATCAAAAAGAACTAAACATGAGGCAAAGGAGATGGATCGAGTTAATGAACGGTTACGAATGCGAGATTCGGTATCATCCGGGAAAAGCAAATGTTGTAGCAGATGCCCTAAGTCGTAAGGAACGTGTGAAACCCCGACGAGTAAAAGCACTGACTATGACCATCCATTCCAACCTCAATGCAAAAATCCGGGAAGCGCAATTGGAAGCCCTAAAAGAAGAGAATGTTGGGAGAGAAGCTTTACGAGGAATGGATAAGAATTTTGAGCTTAAGGATGATGGAACCCGTTATTTCATGAACAGAATCTGGACGCCAAAGTTTGGTGAGATGAGGAGCTTAGTCTTGGAAGAAGCTCACCGATCAAGATATTCAGTACATCCTGGCTCTGACAAGATGTATATGGATCTGAAGAAATTGTATTGGTGGCGTAATATGAAAGCTGAGATTGCCACTTATGTGGGCAAATGCCTGACATGTTCCAAAGTCAAGGCAGAGCATCAAAAGCCCTCCGGATTACTACAACAACCCGAGATTCCCGAGTGGAAATGGGAACAAATTTCAATGGACTTTATCACCAAACTACCTAAGACCCCTAGTGGGTACGACACTATTTGGGTGGTGGTTGACAGGTTAACGAAGTCTGCCCATTTCCTACCAATCAAAGAAACTGACAAAATGGAAAAGCTAACAAGAACGTATCTCAGGGAAATTGTCAAACTTCATGGAGTGCCAATTTCTATTATCTCAGATAGAGATAGTAGATTCACTTCTAGGTTCTGGCAATCACTACAAAAATCCCTGGGAACCCGCTTAGATATGAGTACAGCTTACCATCCCCAGACTGATGGTCAAAGCGAATGAACCATTCAAACACTGGAAGATATGCTTCGGTCATGTGTGATAGACTTTGGAAACTCTTGGGATACTCATCTACCATTGATTGAGTTCTCCTATAATAATAGCTATCACACCAGCATCAAAGTTGCACCATTTGAAGCTTTATACGGACGCAAGTGTAGATCGCCAATATGTTGGACAGAGGTTGGAGATACGCAATTGGCGCGAGAACGCACAGGTGACACTCTGCGCACTGGGCCAGAGATAATTCACGAAACGACCGAAAAGATAGTTCAGATTAAAGATCGACTTAAGGCCGCACGTGATCGTCAGAAAAGTTATGCTAACGTGAGACGTAAACCTCTAGAGTTCCAGGTTGGGGACCGAGTGATGTTAAAAGTCTCACCCTGGAAAGGTATGATTCGGTTTGGGAAGAGAGGCAAGTTAAACCCAAGATACATTGGACCTTTCGAAATCCTCGACAGAATTGGTCCTGTTGCTTACCGACTAAAGCTGCCTCAGGAACTAGACAAAGTGCATGATGTCTTTCATGTGTCAAACCTGAAGAAGTTTCCGTCGAATGATACCAATGTAATACCTCTCGATGAGATCCAACTGAACACCAAACTCCACTTTGTTGAAGAACCTGTGGAGATTATGGATCGAGAAGTAAAGCGTTTAAAACAAAGTCGAATTCCTATCGTGAAGGTTCGCTGGAACTCTCAATGAGGACCAGAATTCACCTGGGAACGCGAAGAC